TCTTAAACTTCTTATTGTTACAAGAGCCACTAAATCTTTTCTTAATCCTGATATAACAAATAAATTCCCCAAAAATAATATTAAATATGAACCAGTTGCTACACAATTTTTTTTGAATCATTCAGAAGGTTATTGTGTAGAAATTCCAATTTTTTCCGAATTTAACTCAAATATTAACTTAAAATTTTATATTTGCAAAGCTTACAAGACATTTGATGGTCTTAATCTTAAGGCTTCTTAAAGCAAATCTCGATTCTACCCAAGCTACTCTTACTACAGCGCATTCTATTCTTCCTATTAATTACTATGCCACAAATAAAGCCCAATTCTATATAGTCCACCAAGAGCCCTAAAGAATTATACAAGTCAAATTTACAGTAAAAGAAACATCAGGTAAAATCGTCATCCAAAAACAAGAAGTCGAAGGTGCCATCCTAAGAGAAATTCTCACCGTCGCATATAATCAACTTGCCTGGACCGAGCCACCTCTCTAGTATACAATTTGATGCCGGCAATTCAAGATATAATTATTGTTTAACGAGATTTTTCATATGTTTAGGAAAAAATATTCAACGTTTTATTGCAAATATATTCCACTTTTACAGTTTTATATATGTTGTTATTAAAATTTTTTCCGGTTTCTTACCGGTAGCTTTATTATAAGCCGGAACATAACATTTTTTCCCGTAGTGACAAAACATTAAATTCAAAAATTTTCAAAAAATTCATAAGTATTTCTTAGGGTTATATCTTTATGCTGTAAAAAAAATTATCAAAATTGTATGTCTGGTTTTCCCGCTTTATACTTGGAAAAAAGTAGTTTTTTAGAGTTTTTTCGAAAACGAAAACATGAAGTTTGTTCAAACTTTGTCAAAATACTTTTAATTGTCACATATACTTTCTCAATTTTTTTCAAATTTTTTGAATTTGTAGTTTATTTTTTGGGGGGTGCAGATCAACCGTAAGCAAAATTTCCTATCGTGGCCTTAGGACAAGCTAATATTATGTTCCCAAACTAATCTTAATATTGTTCTGAAGCTATTTTCTTGTGGAATTTTAAAGTAATTACTATTTCAATGGGAATAAGCCACAAAGAAAGGTTAAAATAAGTTTATTGATGTTTCAACTTCCACTTTGAAACTCGTTCTCAAAGTACAGCATTAGTTTTAATTAATATTACAAACTAATGTTTGTATTTTGAGAACGATCTCCGAAGTGAAAATTGAAACATCAATAAACTTAATTTAACGTTTAATTGTGGCGTATTCTCATTTAAATAGTAATTACAAACGGAATCTTACAAGGAAAATACAGGCTCCACGAAGAAAACAACATTTGTAGCCAAAAAACATAAGTGATCGGTGTAATATCAGAGACATCACCACAATATTGGATATTTGGATATTGGATAGACTTACAAGATGAAATAGATGTATATCAAGCAAATGATGGAATAATAAAGACTCTAAAAGAAACGGAAAGCGAGTGCAGCCCGACCATTCTGACCCATAAAGAAAAACTAAGCCAAAATACAAACGAAAAATTAACTAAAGATATCCACTGGTAATTCGAGAAGAAGTAAGAGAAAACAATACAAGAAAATAACTAAAATAATTCAAGAAAACAAATGATTAAAAGATTTAAGGCGAAATATGAACAACATAGGCAACAAAAATATGTACAAAATAAAAAACAAAGAGGGTTTGTAAAAAACAAACATTACTAATGATAGAACCAAAATCCTTATTAAGGTTGTCGAATACTTTTATCGAGAAATGTATGACAGCACCGACGAACCGTAAGATCAGCCCCTGTCCAAAATCACAAACCAGTGATCAGAAATAACTCCATACGAAATCTAGAAATGAAAAATAACAAATCCCCTGGCGATGATAAAGTAGTGATCTAAGCGATCAAACTAGGTTGAAATAAATTATCCAGGCTTTGGTCAAGCTTTTCACCGAATACATCTACCAAGGAAAAACTCCTCAATATAACAATGCAATCATTACTTTATTACAGAAGTAAGGAGACATAACTGATTTAAAAAGCTACCGTCCTATCAGTTTGCTTTCACACATATATAAACTTTTCACAAAAATTATCAAAAAAAAGTTAAATTAGACTTCTATCAGCTTGTAGAACAAACCATTGGCACTGATATTTGTCGACTACGAGAAAGCATTCGATACCATAAGCCAACAGAATATGTTAAAAGCATTGACAGAATGCCAAATAGATCATCGCTACACTAACATAATCAAATATATCTACCAAAATGCCACAACTCGCAGAAGACTATCTGAACAAGAAACAAATAAATTCTGTAAATAGCGAGAAGTACGGCAAGGAGACACAGTATTTCAAAAACTATTCACGACGCGACGCGTTTAGAACATACTTGTAAGAAGGCACATCTGAACGAGCCTGGTATCAACAGAAATTGAGAGAAGCTTAGTCATTTGAGATTTGCAGATAACATCGTCCTTATAGCCTATCGTATGAATGTTGCAATAATATTGTATTAAAAATTATATCACGCTTCCTTGGAAGTCGGACTAAAGATTAATATGAACCAGACGCAAATAATGACTAATCTGGTGATAAATCCAAATATTGCTGTTGATGGAAGGGATATTGTGCAGACTACATCGTATAAGGACCTAGACCATAAAATTCGGTTGGGCCGATATAACCAGACATGTCAGCTCCCACGTCGCATAGGATTAGCGGCAGCGTTTGGTAAATTCAACTATGTATTTAAATCGGACCTACCCATATGCATCAAAAGGAAAATCTTTGACCGATGTATGTTGCCTGTACTCACTTATGGAGCGGAAACATTAACAGAGGTAGTTAATAAGATTCGCGTGACTCAGATGGCTATAGAGTGCCAGATATTGGGTGTCTCTTTGAGAGACCGAATCCCATTAAAATGGAATTGGGCAGGACACGTCGCCAGATTATCAGACAACCGATGGATAAAACGAATTTTAGAGTGAAGACCAAGGCAAGAAGCAATACGGAGCAGAGGACGCCCACCAACTAGATCGACTGACGACCTGAACCGTATTAGCAATAACTGGATGCAAGTCGCACAAGACAGAGACAGATGGAAAGAACTGAGGGAGACCTATGTCCAGCAATGGACGCATACAATGATGATGTTATGAATGTAGTATCGCATGCAGGTATAGAATGTAGTATGAATGAAGCCCCTATCCGTAGCAGTAACAAAGAAAAAAAAAGAGCGTGGCATTGGAGGAGTGCCGATATCAATTAATTTTATTTAATTTCATTTAATTTTATTCAATTTTATTTACTTTCATTTAATTCTAATCAGTTTTATTTATTTTATTTAATTTTATTTAATTTGAGTTAATTTAATTTAATTTAATTTTATTAAATCTTATGTACTATTATTTAATTTTATTCAACTTTTTTAAATTTTATTAAATTTGATGTAATTTTTATCCAAATCCAAAATATTAAATCCAGTTTTTTTTAGAAACATGCTTACAAATCTTTTATATCCAGAAATAATCTGAAAAACTGTAATTTTTACTGCGATATTCATACGACTCGTAAAACATTGTTATCTAACTGAATCTACATTGTCTTAAAAGGTACAATATTAAAATACAACACATATTTTGTTATTCAATACAAACTTATTTGAATACTTGTTCTGTGTTTCGTATAATTAAAAATAGTATTTTATTTTATATATATATATATATATATATATATATATATATATATATATATATATATATACCCGGTTTTTAGGCGTCACGCCCGTCCGGTAGGGATCTATGGAGGAGTATCACCGAGCCACAAGCCCTTATCTCTTGCCGTACTGCTCCACCATAGGCCGATCAGACACCAGCATATTCTAGCCTAAGCCGCAGATTCATCTAGAATTTTAAACTGCTGCGTTAGACTTTTTGTTTTCTGTACACCGAGCTGGGGACCGAACCCACATCCACTAAACCATTCGCAGCGAAGCGAATGAGAAGCAGCCGCCCAGCTCGCTAGGCTATCTGACCGACCGTATTTTATTTTATGATTTTGAATAATTTGATTAACGTGAAGTTTCTGTGAATAATAGGTAAACGCAAGAAAATATAATTGTATATACAAGAAAAATACATGTTCTCATAAACAGAAGAAAAAATTACTTCATATTAACTAGATTATTAGAAATATTTTAAATTTCGGCAATAAAAATTTCTTTCTCCTTTGAAAATAACACAACACAGATCAAGGGTGAAAAAGTAAAAAGAGAAAAAACTCTAAAAACATTAACCAACTAGTACGTTCATTTAGATATAAATCGACATATTATTATAGTGATAATTTTTCGACTGTTCTAACAACCATTCAAATTTCGTCATTTTGTGTCATGTGGAACAATTTCACCCAATCATGTCAACATTAGACTGATAATTGCATTCAGTGCAATTTTCAATCCCTATGACAACACGATCGAGTTTGACAACTTCATCCAAATAAATTTCAAAATGTCACGTTTCGGCAATGAGAATGTTCAAAGTATAAATTTTAATAATTGTACTTTCACTAACTGTACTTTTAATAAATAAATGTTTCGTTATGTTGAGTTATGATTTTTTTTTTTCGAAAAATTATCCGCCGAATATCCCTAGGACATTGATGAATGCCTCATAATTTCATGACAAATTTCTCAAGCTCGTTGCTTGGTAACAGCACTCAGCCTTCGGCTTCGTGCTGTTACCAAGGAACGAGCTTTCGATTGTCATGAAATTATCTCGTCTGTTATCATTGTCCTAGGGATATTACTACTGATAATAGATTGACACTAGATCGTAACATATAAAATACTCGATAATTGAAATCTTTAAATTAACTAAGAGGGATCTTGTATTACGTATATTGGATTATACAAAACAAACTTGTTTTTAAATATGTTTATTTCAGATTGTCCGTAATAAAATAACCAAATATAAAAAAATACTTACCAACCCTTAACATAAAGTTATTGTAGGAATTTTCATTAATATTTAACAGTCTATCCCTCATGGCAAAAACGAACTCTACCAAGGTACTTAGATGAGTACCTGCAGTAGTTTCGTCATCGTCCAATATCCTTAGATCGGGCATGAGTCCAACTGCCGCCATGTATGTAGATCCCACAGTTTTGATTTTATCGATAGCTTTAAATCTTTCTTCAGAAAGCAGATCATCGAAGTCAGCTATGATTTCATTAAGTAGTCTCAGACATTCCACACCTTGGTTATTACCGTCTAGTTCGGTATAAAATTCATGGTAATTTGTTATTGAAGCGAATACCACGCCTACGCGGGAGTAGCTTTGATGATAAAGTTCCTGCGATAGATTAGTCTGTAAGAAAAATGGTGAAGGGATGGGTATGAAACCTTGGATGTGCAGCCAACATCGTCAATCAGCGAAAAGTAATCCGAAAAAAAGCGGAGTTGAACTATAGTGGGATCGGAAACTTTGCATTTTTCGAAATTGAAAAAAATTAATTTAGATTAAATGTATAATTTGGTACGAAATAAAAGAAAAGCCAATTCTACAAATATATTGTTCAGTAAGCATACAAAATGCACCAAGTTAAATATATAATGATAATCGTCAGTTCTTGCCCTTTGTATTAAAATCGTAAACACCATCATGTTATCTCGATATCATGTTAATGTTTACTGCATACTGCTCAATTTTAATTTAATATTTAACGTGGTTCTGAGACTATTTTCATGTTCTCTTTTTATAGTAACTACTATATATTTTTTGGGAATAATTCATAATTATAATTAAATTTTTTTATGTTTTAGGTCTTAATTCTACTTTCTTGGTAACTTTCGATTTCTGAGTTGGAAATCGAGCATCAAATATAAAATAATTTTAATTACGTGTATATTTCCATATTGTTAGGATTCAATCTGTCTAAAATCAAACTGACTGATGACAAAAATGCTTAAAGATCTTTTCACCGAAGAGTTCTCCAAACTATCGGTAATGGCCATACGCCTGTCGACGAATTGAATGGTTTGATTTCGTTTACGAATTTTGACATTTCGTTTCAACAAAGGACGAGCTCATTAATAAAGTGTTCCCCAATATCATTGCTAAGTATAAAAAATTACAATTTGTTAAGTGAATGAATAATTTTTGCAGCAAAGAACAAGGATATAGATGATTTAAACTTAATAATTCAAAAATCAGATTGTTATTCCACTTTGTAATGAACAAAGACGTGTGCTTGGCTTACTACCTCATAATAAGGTTGGCTCGGTTATCATGATATTAGAAATCTAAATCAACTAATAATATGCAACGAGACGGATGTGATGGTGTAAAAACTTTTAGGCAATATAATATACGCCAAGATACTCAAAGGAACATTTAGGGATGAGAATTTGAGTTTGAACGAATTTACTATCCCATTGTAACATAAATTGAACCTGGATCGGAAATGACAGATCTCCGACTCTTTCAAGATCTCAAGCGGGAATAACCTTATTTCTCACGCATTAATGATTTTTGTCAGTAAAACAAAACTTCCCGCCTTCGTGACTTCTACCTAGCGAGCGATTGGTTGCGCTTAAAGGCATCTGTCAGAAACATTTGGCAAAAATGTAGACAACCACGTCTAATTCTGCAGCGACAGCTTCCAATGCAAATAAATGATTCGATTTTGTTTATTCCATTCGGCGCTTTTAAGACGCAATTCTTAAAGAGAAAACGATTTATCCAAGACAATTTTAAAGTAAATATTTAAATTTTGTTTATTCTCGTTCGAAGATAATTAGACACAAAACACTAAGTGCTTATAGGAACTTTCTGTCGAATACTTAAAATACGTGAATTAAAACCTTATGTATGGACCAAAAAATACTACACCATTCGTCTTGCATCCACCATGAAGATAAATAAATCACTTGGAAGGTCAATCCTTTAATGTTTATGGACTGAATATAGAAAATAATTCTTTTTTTCACGGTCAATTGTACGAAGTATGTTGACGTGTAGGCATTTACCATTGCATCTTGACCATTCTTGCTTTTGGCAAGACAATGAAAACTATAGTATATCACAAAGTCCTTTGTTGCCATGTGAATTAGCTCCTTTTTAAACTTACTTAATTTTATATTAATGTAAAAAGTTATTATATTTTGTAGGTTAATATAAATTCCCCGGGTCAAAATATAGGTAAAATATATTTTCTTACTTTCTTACATTGGGTGTTTCTTGTATTAAAAATGTAGGTACACTACTAACTAATTATAACAGTAAGTCCCAGTATAACTTCCTTTTTTTCGTATAAATTTAAAAAGCTGTAACTAAGAATAAAAGGATACTACATAAGAACGAGACGAGATTGTGCGGCGAGATTAATCACTGATAAGAAATTTCGATGTTAAGGTTAATCCGTAAGGTTATACAGGTTCATTTCGTGTGCGGTATCTGCCCTTATGCTCCTAGAAGGCGGACCTAGCTACCAGCACAATTAGGATCTTCTAGATGTAGAGCTTTTGTGTGTATACCGTTGATAAATTTAAATAATGTATTGGATGTGTTTTCCCCAACATTTAATGTATTGGTATAATCCAATTAGTGTACGTTTTAAATTAAAAGTGAGCGAGTATCACGTGGTGCATTTTCTGAACTATACTGTTCATTTTTAACATTAAATTTAAACATGCCATATAATTTCATTTCAAGAGAGCCAAATGCAAGCTCTTTTTGTATTAATTAATGTGTATTACTACATGTAGTGGTCCTGGACACCATTAGTGTTATCTAGTTATGAAAGATTTATACTTTCTAAATTTTTACGGGAAAACATTGTATACTGTTAGTATGTTACTTGAAATAGTCAAAATATCTATGCCGTAATAATAATATCAAGGAACCTGTGTATATAGAAATAAAAATCAATATTGTCTATTGAAAAATTACATTAGCCCCCTTTTGAGAATGTAACAAAATGTAACATTTTTATTTTAGGCCCTAAGTGAGTTTTAGGCGACTTGTGGCGCATTCAGTTCACTATTTGTACTTATATTATAAAACCACTGCTACATGACAATAATTGCTTTCTATCTTTATTATAACCGATTTCTGATAACTCAAAACTGAAATCATCTGTCACCCGTTCCATTTTTGAGAAGGTTCTCGACTGTCTTTACAAATTTTTAATTTTATATAAGAAATTTGTTTTCTTTGGTGTTTTAGTGACTGTTTTATATTATGCAATTATCCTATAAATAGACAGGCGTACGTTTTAGTTTTTTTTTGTTTATTGAACTATCAAAAAACCTTATAAACCATTTGTAACAAATTTATTACATTACCACCTATAGGGTGAGTAATTTTTTTTCGCAAATGTAGATTTTTGATTTTTTTTATCCCTAAAAAAGGAGCGAATGGTGCCCACAAAAAGAAGATTATCTAATAAAGAACAAGAACCTGTATCTAAAAAAATAATTTATAAAAAGACATTAGTAGATGACGACTTGTGTCAATGTCTGCTTGAATGAGACGAAGATATCATTTTCCTAACATTTAATGAGTGGGGGGGGGGGGGGGTATTATGACCCGGGAGCACTCTCATGAACTCAGAGCTAAGAGACTTGAACTTGAGAAATCGTTTCACACCGAAAATGCAATAACAAGGTTTGTGATATTCTTATCATTGTGACATATTTGTAACAAATTCAAATTTGGTAACTAGCGATAAATTAAAGGTAAAATATCTATTTAATAAATTTTTACATAATTCTAGAAGGGCACAATAGAAAGAAAACACAGTTTTCACATTTTTATTTTGGTTAAAAAAAATAATCAGGGTTGCATTTTTGAGGGGCGCAATCTTATTTTTTTGATGTGTAGGGGTAACTAGTATAAGCTTAAGTTCAAGTTTTTGTAATCTCCCTGCCGCCATCTTGGAAAAAAGGATTCAAAGGGTTTTCGCGATGTATCTCGTAAATTATCGTAAATCTATATTATTTGTAGAAAATTAAGGTACAACTTTATTCCTATCACTTTTTATTATAAAATGGAAAATAAATACGTTACAAACAAAAATAACTAAATATTTTTGAAATGAAATTTGAAATAATTATTTTTTTCGACTCTTTATAGACTATCACTTTTTCTTGGTCATTTTACAATAAAATCTCATTAGAGCCATATTCTAGAAAGCTTTTCAAGGAATAATTTTCATGTACAAATTTGTTTGGACCGTTTCCCCCACCATAAAACTTGGAATATCATTGGTTCTTACAATAATTTTAGCCCCTTTACGTATTTTTTATTATTATAATTTTATTATTCACATATCAAACGTAACAGAAAAACAACTTAAAATGATTTGATTTTACCGTAAATAGCCGCGAATTAATTTGGATTGCTAATGGAATAGTAGGTAGATTTGAAAATTTTAAATTTTTAATGAAAATTTAAATTTTAAATTTTCATCGTGCCACTGAGATATGAGAAGGATTGATAAGTAACATAATAGGATCTGATTTTCAACGACTGTCATTCCATCGCAAATATAAGATTCTTCCATAAGTACTATTTTAAGTATACATACTTAATTCTTATTTCTCATACATATATCTCATACTTATTTCGACACAAGTCGAAAAATATCCTGTTATCATCAATTCCTTACTTTTATTTTAACAGATGTGCACTTCGGGAGAAATAGCCGGTGATATCAAACAATATCTGGCGTACGAATTAGCACCTTTTCCATTAGCATCTTTGTTTAATACCTTTACAGTACAAAAAACAGTAGAAAGATCCTCTAATAATAGTCACAGAGGTCATTTTGTTATCGATGGTGGTTCTTTGTTACATAAAGTGGTTTGGGATCGGAATTCGTCTTTGAACAACATTCTTAAGAAATACGTTGAGTATATACATGTACAAAGACACTATTGATTCTCTGCAAGGATAATATCTGATGGCTACTCCGAAAACTCTAATTTCGCAGGTACAAAAACGTGGGAAAGCTTGCGTAGCACGACAAAGCACTTATCGACAGATCAATTTTAATAAGACCACCGTAATAGTTGACAATAACAACAAAAATATACCAACTGAGTTGCTGAAGATAATAGATGAAGATAACATAAAAATAATAGTAATTTTTTTTAATGCAATATATAACATTGGAGTGATTCCCGCAGACTGGCGTACGTTCATCTTTGTTACGATACCTAAAAACACAATGCTAGAAAATGCTTAGAATATCGAATAATTAGCCTAATAAGCTACCCTCCTAATAATTAGATTTTCATACTTAGACTTCATACTTAGACTCAAATGCGAAGATCTCGAAAATATCCAATAGATATTTTCTTATATAAATATCTATCCAATAGATATTTCAGGATGCGATACAATATCAGCACCTTAAAAGATCGGCAAACTTAAATTCATCGAACTTTTATACAAATTTCCTGTTAGCTAGTGGAACAGCATTATTTCTCAGTGAGAAAGTCGAGCAATCTTTGCTTACTGTCGTTGGCGAACGTTGTTTCGTCTCCTTATATGATGGAAATAAAGATGATTTTCTGGGCAGCATGAGATACAAACGATTTACGAAGACAGTGACCAAAAATACATTAAATTTATCGTCGCTTCCTTCGACACAAGGTACTCATTTCCACACTCTCCGAACCAAACTTTCAAAACTCCAGCACCCCCGAACTTCTGAAACTAATTTTCTTCATATACAAGGGAAACTGTGGGAGTATGTGTGGTTGCCGAAAAAATTTTGTTATTTCGCAAAAGGGCGGGCATGTTTTCGACGCTGAAGTACCTGAGGGTCTTAAAAGTACCTTTGTTTTGGACGCTGCCGGAAGGATTATGGCAGGTACCAGATATTAGATATAATTAGGGTTTAATGATGATCATTGAAATTTACTTGTGTGATATCACGAGTGTGATATCAAGACGCTTAATAGACAGATTGTGCGTAGCAGTGCCAAAAGGAAGGCTATGGATAATTTGACCGAAGGGCCGTCTAAAATCATACATAGTGCGTTGAAAGAAAATGTAGATTGCTTGAGCCACATGTCTGTTAAAGACGTTAATTTAATACGAAATCAAATATACTCTGAACAGCGAATGGCTCAACCGAAACTGCCCAAAAGTAAAGAAGAAACTATTGCTGCGGTAAATATTATGAATATCAAACATGCGTTTTCTGTGCGACAGTGAAACGATTTATATATACGGTACATTTAGTTACTGCGCTCAATATTTTAAGCATTTTCTCCGATTTTGAAATTGCTATCCACAGTGCTGCGCGTTTTGAATTTCCAAATGTGCACATCAAAGGGTGCCGTTTTCATCTTATGCAAGCTTGGTATCGTAATATCGGTGGTTGTGGCTTAATTCGGGAATATAAATTGGCAGACAGTGAAATATCTAAATGGCTGAAATATATTTTTGGGCTGCCTTTTTACCTCCCTCAGAAGTCGAAGAACCTTTTATATATAATTTTATGGCTATTCAACCAAAGGATTCAAAAATTGAAAAGTTTTCCGACTATTATTCTATAATACTACGACTATAATTTCCGAATTAAATATTTAATTATGCTCATCATTATCTCGCCTGAAAATTATCAGTAGGTTGGGCCTGCTTGGGATATCACGAAAAAAAAAGCATCTACAGATTCTAAATCATTGGTGGTGGGAAAAAGTATTGATAATAAATTAATAGTATCATAGAAATGTTAAGACAATGATAAATTATTATTATATTATGTAATATTGAAAGTAGAGTTCCAGTAGGTGACATGAACTTTAGTATCAAATGATCCTTGCAAAAAAGTATACATCTTTCATTAGTATATTGTCACGATTAATACAATATGTCTGCTGATAAAAAAGTAATATTCTACACAATTATTCTGTTTTTTTTTGATGATATATATAAACTATTGCAAATTTAACAGTTTTGTGACAGCATAATGTATTAATGACGACAAAATATCCTATTTGACCAAATTAAATTACATTATAATAAAAACTAAGATAAAATGCAAAGTTTTCGATCTCATCGTTCTACCCCTAACAAAAAAATACAAGAACGACGAGAAGAAAGCAATCATTTCCACAATATATAAACATAAATGTTGCCTACACGAACACAAGTAAGTGAGACGTGAACGGCTACTACTTCTTACCATATTATTTCTAAATTGGTTATCCAAAAAATGAGTAGCTACATGAGCAGGGAGCAAGTTAAAGAGAATTCTTTTATTGGAGTGTTGGAGGGCGTCCATTTCTCTCTTCTCTTCATTGGCTTGGATCTGCCAGAGAAAGTCGAGTCTTGCAGTCCATTCTACTTGTCTGCCATGAAGGAGAACAGCTAACACGAACATTAATACTTCAACGACACTTATCACGTGCAGTGGGATGATAGAGCTAGAAATAGGTAAAAAAATGATTTTAATAAAGATAACTACTATACGCATTAACAGACAATTTAAATTTTTAGATTTGTCATATACGGGAAACTAACATCATTTTCGGAAAAAATTATAAAACTCTTATGCAATGAAAATGACCCAAAAAATTGTTACTTAACAAACATCGGAAACAAAAATATAATTAAAGTAGGTTGTAGATTTTAAACCTAAATAACGATGGTTGAAATTTTAGACATTTTGCAAGTGCGTGACATTTATAACATATAACATACTCAAGATGGAAGCTTAGACAATGAAATAGAGAGGAAAGGTAACACTCACTTAACAAATCTTCGCAAAGTGAAAGCAGTTTTGATGTTACCGCTATGTTTTGGTGCCTGTACGTTGCTCATTAGTACCTCTTAGGGTTGCCAGGTCTACTGATTTTTCAGTAGATCTACTGATTTCAACTTTAATTTACTGAGTTACTGAAATATCGATGTACTAAAAAATATTTAATGATAAAATCACGTTCAAAGAGTGATCATTATATAAGTGCTCAATTATAAATTTTGAAAAAAAAACTATTATATATATATATATATATATATAGATATATATATATATAATATATATATATATATATATATATATATATATATAAAGATCTATCTTCTTTAGCCTTCATTTATCCAATGTTGGACATAGGCCTCCTCCAATTGCTTCCACGCTTCCCTATCTTTTGCAATTCTCATCCACTGCTTTCCAGCTAGAGCAGTTATATCGTCTATCCATCTCTTTTTAGGTCTTCCCACGCTTCTTTTTGTTTCTCGAGGTCTCCAGAATGTCACTTTATGAGACCATCTGTTGGTGTCTTGTCTTGCTACATGTGCTACCCATTGCCATCTCAATGTCCCTATTTTTCCCATGATGTCGGTTACTTTAGTTCTTCGACGTATTTCGGTGTTAGGAATTTTGTCTCTGAGGCTTTAATTTAACATGGCCCGTTGAGTTACTCTTAATTGTTCTGCCATTTTTCTTGTTATTGCCATAGTTTCCAATCCATAAGTTGCAACTGGTAGTATACAAGTGTCATAGGTTTTTCGTTTTAAGTGAATTGGGATTTTTCTGTCTTTTAAAATGAAGCTCAACTTACCAAAAGCAGCCCATGATAATTGTTTCCTTTTTTTAATTTCTAGGGTTTGATTTTCCTTTTCGTTTTTAATTGCATGTCCTAGATCTTTGTTTTGTCGAGATTCATTTTTAATCCTATTTGATTCGATTTGTGATTTAAATCTTGTAGCATTGATTTTAGTTTATGGATATCTGTGCTTATTAGTACTATGTCGTCTGCAAAACGCAAATGGTTAAGATATACTCCATCTATTTTTAATCCATTTTCGGCCCAATTTAGTTGTTTGAAAACATTTTCTAATTCTAATTCTAATTTTTAATTCTAATTTTCTAATGCCTAATGACCTGGCAACCTTTGTGGTGCCGGTTTGGCTTCAGTCAATTCCATATGATTACGCATCCCCTCTCTTTTCTTGTCTTAGGATGGAACCTATGAATAAATACTTCCATCCAAAGTAGCTAGTCACAATGGCCGAACCTTTCCGTTTTCGGTTCAGCAAACACTGAAAGATGTTATTGTTAAAAATTTAACGAATTTATTGATTTACCAAAAAGAATACATTCAATTATTGACTTAACACATAATGTTATCTGTTGACATAAAAATATCGGGAATACCTATATTCATGTTAACCATCTGTCAAATTCATATCAGACATTGCAGCTAGTAATGTGACGTCAATTCAGTCGTTTACCAGCTACATGTAAAAATATCAACATTTTTTATTGGTTCCATCCTATGTATGTAACATTCTCGAAATTTTCATTAAAGCAATAATTTAAGTTATGTAAATATCATTGTGTGCATGTGCAGAAAATCGCTGTAATTTTAATCGCAAAGACTACTCTAATTAGTTTTTTTTTTTCGACACACTGTTAGAACACGGCGCTTTTCGACGTCATATAGACATAATTGAACGACACAATGCGTATTTTAGTATTAGGTTTTACATATATGGCCCATATAAAGTATGGCTCCCGTATTCTGAGACAGTACCCATTCCTGCTTAACCCCCCTTTCTATATTAAAATACTTTGATGTTCCTGACTCACATCTTCTATTAGGTAATTTTCTGTGAATATGTTTCAGATAGTAGTGATACCTCTTTCATCAAGTAATACTACTTCATTATTCATTTCAATAGGTTATGTGCTTGATTAACAAAATTCTTTTTCATGAACGATTAATGCCGATTTGCTTAGATTGAACGATATTTGTAATTTAAAAATGCACTCAACAAAGTCTTAATAGGTTTGATAGTCTTTAGAGCCTGATATTGATAGGTATTTCGACAAGAATAAACTGAAAGAATAGAAAGTAAAAAAATATATAAAAATAAGCGTATTTCTTTTTATTTCTGATGTAACCCACTAAGTACATTTCTTGTCTAGAAAGCATGTTTATGTATGTACATATCTAAATTTAAAAAAATCTACACTTTAATAATTTTAATATTAATTAATTATTAAGTTCGTTAATAATATTTAATATCAAATGATTTACCTTACTCTAATATCATAGCAAAAGAACAACTCAATATGAGACAGTTCAATGTGGAGAATATAAACCGTAGACATGATGACAAGTAACGAAGCCTTAAGTAAAATCGGAAGTCTTAAAAATATAGCCACAGCCAAATATCCAAGGGCACAAGATAGGACGATGTATTGCGGTAATGGGCAAGCCCTATGGTCCCTACCATCCAGGGTGATGTTTACAGTCGTATGAGGTATGCAATTGGTGTCTGGCAGGCATGTGAACTAAAATATAATAAAAGTATTAACAGCAGTTAAAACATTATATGTAAATATTTTGTTAAGGCATGATATTATTATGTTTATTAATAATTAAGTGGCGCAGAGTAATTTTAGTTATTTTTATTCACTATTATGTCTTCCTGTTTCAAGAAGAATACAGTAATTCTAATTTTGACTTACAAAATGACTTTTTGAACATAAAACCATAAGTAACAAAGATATGCAAGTACTTTTTTTTAATAAAAAACAATTTTTTGATTACATTAACATGTAAGGTAATATCTACATTGTGATCATAAAAATAGGTTCCATACTAAGTATAAGTTTGGTTTATGTTTAAGATAGCTTGCTCGAATAACATTGTTTTTTATTCAATTATAAATTACATTAATATAAGATTCGTTCCATAGAAGAAATCGAAAACTATATATGCTTTTTGAAGCTAACCATGTGACTGTGATACTTATAATATGGTTCATAACTGTGAAATAAGAAAAACTTAGAAGAGGAACGAATATTCAAAAAGTAAAGGGAAAGTTCGAAATATATATGGACGAGACAAGCTTGCATAGAAGAAAATACACCCACCAAAAAAACATTGCATATTTTATTTTCTGTCCTTATTTTTCTAACGTTTGTAATTTATAATATTGTCTACTGGAGTGTTTATTGTATTGTTAGGACAGTTCCGTGAAATTTCTTTCGTATATAAAAAGTCCCTTGACGAAAAAGAATAGGTATTAAAGAAATCTAGAATGTCATCGAAATACCCCGAAATGTCTTGAATGTCAGAAAATATAAACACAAGACAGTAATATTTGAGGTTTTAAAGTTGATAGTTGTGTAATAGTTAAAGTATTGTAATATTGTTGATGTTTGAATAAAATTATTTCAAAGAAGCGTAATATTGGTGACAGCGGTGAGATTAAAGATATGTTAAACAATTATGAACGGTTAATACGAGAACACAATCATTTAAAAAACGATTTAGAAAATAAAATCCTAAAACATCAAAACAATTTTAAATATAATTTTAAAAGACAAAATAGTTGAGTTAGAAGGAAAAATTAATACCCAAGCTTCTTTATTTATTATTTTAGTAACTAATGTCAAATCTGAACAAACAGCTTAAACATCTTCCATACTTCCATAGTTAGATTTATGTACGGTATTGTTATTTTCCTCATATTATTCCATATCCTTAAAAGGACTATCAGAAAAACTTAAAAGGATAGGAAATAAATTCAACATTTTAACAACATTCAAAACAACAAACACGTTGAGATCTATTTTGTCCAAAACCAAACCTAACAATGAACAAAAAAAGACAAAGAATTGCATTTATAAAATACCTTGTGAGTGCGATCAGTTTTATTTAGGTGAATCATCAAGGCCATTAAATGTTCGAATAAGTAAACATCAATCTTATATTAAAAATAAAGAATTTGATAGATCTCAAATCTGTAAACACGCATGGGATAATGAACATAGGGTTCAATGGAATAATTCAAATGTAGTCCTAAAAGAAACGGATGGTAAAAAAAGAAAAATCAAAGAAGCGGCTCTAATTATGCTAAATGAGGCCAATTGTGTCGCAAATTCCTCGGCAGAATGTAGTAGGATCTGGTTACCAATATTGAAAGAGGAAGTTATTAATAAGAAAATACCAGTATTATTAAGTCAGTAACATATAGAGGATACATCATTTATGTTTTTTAAATAACGTAACATATAAAATCAAAATGTTGATGGTTGTTGAAGGTAAACTAAATTCACGAATAAATACTTACAATGTCGGGATACTATTATGAGGTTTTTTTCCTGGTTTTCCCTCATAATTTACTATGGAATCACTAACAGGAGAATTTTACTGTCATCATGTCATGTGTTTGTCTTTTTAAAGACGAATTACATGCTATGATTTTTTTCTGACGGATATTCTCAAGTTAAAGTTGATTTCATGTAATCGAATGAACTATCTTATAAGTAAAGTCGTCCCAGGAGCGCAACTCAACAATATTGGCAATATCATTTTAAAGTCGTCTGCTTTAAAATGCATAATGTATGTCTGAATTGTCAATATAAATGAGTCAGATAAAATGAAATTATTAGAAGAATTTTTCACTATGTAACAAAAAACAAAATTTGTTTAATTTACTGTTTGTATTTTGAGAACGATTTCCGAAGTGGAAATTAAAACGTCAATAAACGTATTTTTATCTTTAATTGTGGCTTATTTCCAGTTTAATAGTAATTAATTTACAATGCCACAAGAAAATAGCTTCAGAACAATATTAAGAAAATATACTTCTTATTACTTTTATTTTCTTCTATATGTACCTATGTACATGTACATGATATTGAGATGACCAAGGTAAATTCTAATTCTTTAAGTATTTTTTAATAACATTCAATATTTCATCTTATTTAATAAGATCTTTTTAAATATTTTTACCAGGTCATCGCGAGAAATATTTAACTTTTTATAAAGATTTATGAAGGTATTATTGTTTTAACTTTTAAGGCAATTGAATGTTTTAACCAAAAATAGAATAAGTGATTTAAATAATTTATTATTATTGTTAAATCTATAATTTATTTGAATATTAATAATGTAAAACACTCAAGTGAACAATATTTATCAACATAAATCAGAAGAGTGCCTGACGATCAATCACGGCTGGAGCGCAGCAGATTAGTACTGAGGGCATATAGAACACAATATGTTCTTTAATATGAATATGAATAATCTCTATCACACCTAGTATAAATAGGTGTGATAACTTGGGACGCAGTAAATATTGGTATTTTTAACTAGAAGATCCTAGTGTAAAACATAAGATAGACATCTTGAGAAGGAAAATGGAATGCATGATTAAAATAATGATGATAAAACACAATTAACATCTACAATTCTAACAATTACAATCATTGATACGAAATGAAAATGCGGTTTACAACTAATGAAGTGGGACCGATTAAAAAAATACATACAGACATTTTTTATGTAAAGTTGTTTATTTGATAACTATAACAATATTTCGAAGCTGAACAAACCGGATCTATTGCCTCAAAACAAATATTGTTTAATAAGTCTTTGGGTGTTCACCAAGTGTGCTTCTACTAATTTCATATTTTCACAGTATTTTATATCAGAAGGAAAAAATTAATTACGTTCTAATGTACTCCAATTGTAATAAATTTCACTTACCACATTAACCTGTGCTACAGTATACACTAAAATAATGGTAAATACAGTAATAGCCAGTCTTAAAACAAAACTTTGAGATATATCCCAAAGTATCCATCGTAATCTTACAGCCAACAAGAGCATCAACAGTACTGCTATCCAAACGAAAGCGACTAGAAATAATATGAACAAAATGGTGGTTCTTGGCAATACTACTGCCTGAAGCGTACTTAGAAGTACCAGGAGAACCAAGGCACAGGCTAGAGTTGAACTGTAACCCACGTCGATGTCGTGGTGATACTGAAAATAAAGTAAAAGATTAAAACATGTTGGTAAAAAAAGTATACAGCAACATAAAACGAAAATATAGCTAAATCTGGGATACTTATTATTGAAATTGAAAAAAAAAGAATATTCATAAGTAATGAAAGTATTTATTGCTAAAATTTCGATTAAAAACTTTATTCGTAACTACTAATGTATAAATGATTAAAAATTTCAAAACTATACATGTAAAATTTTGTTTTAATTGATGTAGTTTTATTTTGTAAAATGTATGTAAAAGAATTTTTAGGCTGAGTTAAAATTAATACTAGCTATGATCAATACAGATAGACAGATTAAATCATACATATAAGATTTTCAAACGACGTTATATTAATTGCAGACAACTTACAAGTAACAGTTTCTATGATACATTCACTTAGAACTCTGTCTGAAAGAGCAGGATTAAAAGTAAACTTTGAGAAAACTAAACTTACGATAAATCTCGTAATAGGCGGAAATATAACCATTGACAATAATACAATACAACAGACATACAATTAAAAATATCTGGGACAGGAGATCAAAATAAGCACAGACAATCAAACATACAAAGTACAGAGGCGAATAGGCCTGGCATGGGCAGCATTTGGCAAACTAAGCCATATTCTAAAAAATGGTATTCTCATGTGCCTCAAGCGCAAGGTTTATAATCAATGTGTTCTGTCCGAACAAACTTATGGAGCGGAGAAGTTAACACTGATGTAAAAATTCGCTAACAAACTCAGAGTTACACAACGAGACACTAAAAGCGCAATTCTGGACGTGAACCTTCGAGACCTCATAACCAACCCCCAAATCAGGTAAAGATCAGGGTTTCAAGAGGTCATCGAAAGAATTACGACGCTTAAGTGGAACTGGGCATGGCACTTAGCTAGAACACAAGATGGACGGTGGACAAGATGAATAATGGAATAGAGGCCCAAAAACTATAAAAGCATTTGAGGATCATCACCGAGCATGATATGATGATATAAAAAGAGTAGCGGGAAACTGCTTATAACCGATCCGGTGTAGAGAACACTGGAAAGAACCTTATCCTTTCTTAGTTTTATCGCCCCATATGCCTCAAAACCTTTCTTCTAAAAACAATGGAGAAACTAGTAGACTACGACTATATAAAAAGTGAAACTCAACGAGGAAACAGCTTCACAAACATCAATTTACCTACCAAACAGTAAAACACATAGACATCTAATCGGGTAGAGGAATACCCGATTAGATCCTATAATATATTTATAATCTAGATGTTTGTTTGTAGAATCATATTTTTGTATTTACTGTTGTTTGTAATTTATATAATTTATATAGATGTATATATTTATATGAACCTGTGATGTAGCCATACGCTAAATAAATAACAGGGTCAATATTAACATGATCCACTAGAGGCGATGCTGAACCTTCCTCCTTTACAGTTCTGCATAAGAACTTCCTCTTTTGCAGTTCTGTGTAAGGAGAGATTCAGTAACCACCGCCTTAAAATTGCAACAATTATAGCTAATAATACCTGCGGATCTAGTTAGCCACCTATACATTTTGGAAGAAATTCCATTGGATTCTAAGAACAGTCCGACAGATACCATGTCAGTGAAATTCAACATCGAAACATCCTTTTTATATGGGTCCTTTAAAGAATTATTTCGTAAACGGTGAAGATTCCTTTAAATAATGGAAAATAATACAGGGTGTTTCAAAAAAGGTAACACCGTCTTTAGAATAGGTAAAAAACTAAAATATAATTAATTTTTGCTTATTAAAAATTGTTGTAACATCCGTTTTCAAGATCCGTTGAGGAAAAAAAATGTTAAACATTTTTTACGATTTTGCTCAAACTAGTGGCAACATTGTAATGAAATTTTATACGATTATGTTTTGGAAGCTGATACATCCAATAATTTTGGTTTTGATATCTGACTCTCATAGAGAGCACTAGTTGTGAGATTCGTACCAAGTATTATTCAACATAACTTTTGAAAGGGTAGATTATTAATCAAAATCCAAGTAAACATCATCAAATTTTACACCAAAAAATACTCTTCGTAACACTACATACTGTGTAGCGTTTTCGGAAAATTTTGATTTGAAAATTAGGAATCAATTAAATTACTAATCAATAAAGAAATGATAAAGTTCTAATAGGTATACCTCCATTTTCTCTAAGTTTGCCATAGGAAACTGACATTTATTGATTGTTATGGCGATAAGTCAACAATAATTAGATTTTTTAAAATCTTGTTATTTGTAAAATTGAATATTGTTAATCAAAATGTACTCAAATGGTGAATACCGTAGCCTACATGTTATTAACCGTAGGCGAATGTCGAGTTATGCAGAAAAGTCTTCTAGAATACATTAAGTAAAAAAACATTTAGAGCCATTGAACTATGTTGTCAAAAAACTGGAAATGTTCGACCAAATAAAATAAATTCTGTTAGACCAAGAACAACAAGAATAATTAATAAAGAAAATATTATTTTAAATTTCCAATAGTTAGGGTAAGGAATATGGCAAGACAAACAAATACGTCAAATACGTCTTCTTCAAGTACTTGGCGTATACTTAAAGAGCAGCAGTTATATCCTTATCATTACAGACAAGTCTCTTCCAGACGATCTACTGGTTAAGCGGATTTTGGTAAAATATTGCAAAATAGGACAGCCCTCAATCCAAATTTTTTTAAATGCATTCTTTTTACGGACGAGGCCAGCTGTACGCGACAAGGTCTATTTAACTCTCATAATGCACACTACAGGTGTGCACGAATCAAAATGGTGGAAAACTAACAAAATTCATTTAAAGTTAATATTTTGCAGCAACTTTAGGTAAGAAATTAATAGATTATTATATTCTACTTGAAAATTTAAATGGTACCTTGATTTTTAAATAATAGCTTATTTGAGAAATTAGAAGATTTAACGCTAAACGAGCGAAGATCTTTATTTTTTATGCACCATGGAGCTCCACCGCACTTTGTTAGAAGGTGTCGTAAATGGTTGAATAACCTTTTTCCGAATCGGTGGATTAGTAGAGGTATAGAAGCTCCCATTTATTGGCCTTCTCCTGGTCCTGCGATTTTAATTATTTAGACTACACAGTTTTGTCGTAGAACAAGGAAAAAGTCTAGTCTGCTACAGGGGTAAATTTACATCAAGAATTGAAAGGTGTGATGTCATTAAGGTGACATTCAACGTCACCTTAATGACATTATAGCTGATCCCCAACTGTTTAGAAGATTAATAGATTCTTTAGAAAAAATGATAGACTTGTCTATTCATGATAATGGAGGACATTTTGAACACTTATCTAAGAGTTTTATTTATGTTCTTAGTTTTTATTTTAATTTTCTTCTTGTGATTTTTTTATGTATGTATGTGTGGAGAGGTTTGGCTTAGAACTATATTCATTAGCCACAGAACTTATTAATGAAATATTACTGACTTAAAATTAAATGTATTGTAATATATTACAATTAAAAATTAAATGTATTGTAATATATGTACTTGTGAATATCAATTGTATTTTAGTGACTACCTCAAAATGTTTTAGGCTATTTATGCTAAATATTTATTTTTGTTTTCCTTAGAAAATCAACATTGATTTGTTGAATGACGCAACTAAACATGATATATTAACTGGACCCGCAATATGTGGTTTGTTTAATTGGGATAATAGCTCTTTGAATGATCTCATGTATTTGGTACATTCGAAAAATATGTGATTTATGTCTCCCATTGAAGTGCTGCTACACTCACAAAAGGGGCTTTGAAATACTAATATTTTAAATAGATGGACTGGAAAGCAACGGATGGAATGATGAATTTTAATTTTAGTATTAGTGGAAGCATATGATTTGGAAGGAAAAAAGATTAGATGAGGTATGCTATTGGGCAGAGGTGGATAAATTGAGTGACTTTTATGAGCATTAGTAATACTTTTATACAAAGTTTCCCATTTATTCTTAGCATTGTTCTGAAGCTATTTTCTTGTGGCATTTTAAATTAATTACTATTTAACTGGGAATAAGCCACAATTAAAGATAAAAATACGTTTATTGACGTTTCAATTTCCACTTCGAAAATCGTTCTCAAAATACAAACAGTAAATTTTTATCTTTAATTGTGGCTTATTCCCAGTTAAATAGTAATTAATTATTCTTAGCATCTTTCTTTATTAGTGACAAGAAATCATTGTACATTGCACATATTTACTTCTTCATAGCCAATAATACCTTCATGTCCCGTAACCCAAACAAATTTGATATTTTTTTGTTTCTTCATTAAAGACCATAGTTTAGATTTAATTTTTATTATTATATCGTTTTTATAGTGTTTAATTGGAGATCCAATGAGTGATTGCAAAGCAGATTTGGAGTCGAGACAGAATTACAGCTCTCTTAATTGTATTTTTTCACATCAATCAAACGCTCTATTTATTGTTAAAGCTTCTGCTACAAAAATTGTATATATATTTGAAATAAGGTACTTCTCCACGTTTTGGATGACCGGTAGAACTGCAAAACCCACAGTTGCTTCACTTTTAGATCCATCTGTGTAAATGTATACCACTGCTAGCGCATTCCCTTAAGACGGATTTTACAAAAACCTTATATTTATACATCGATGATTCTAGATAGGAAATATAATATGCGGTTTATATAACATAGCGCCAGGTTCATACTGATCGAATGGGTATTTGTCACTTACTATATTATATATTTATTATATAAATTGGTATCAATAAAGGCATCGGCCAATTGGGGAGAATTTTTTTCCAATACGGATTTGTTAGGAGATTTTGCCTGCTATTTTGTTTAACAGAAATGCATTATATGTCTTGTATTTAATTAACCATTTATTTACTAAATATTGTCTAAGTGTAGATATAGGAGGCTATTGTGCTTCGGCTAAAATTGCATGATTTGGTGAGGAGTTTATTGCCCCTAAAAATATTTTGATAGATTTCATTTATATTTATATTCATTTTAAAACTGATGATGGAATTGTCATTCCAAAAACGTTTGTGTTTTTTAATGTAGCCCTTTTAAGGGTTTTTAAATATACCAAGTTACAAAGATTAACCTCTTTTTTGTGATACGTGGTATACAGCCAGCTGCAGGAATTTTTTTCCTTGTGGATTTTTTTAATTTATATTCTGTCTAGCTTACATACGTTAGTGTTCAAGGATGAACCATATTGTACACCCATCATCTATTAGACAGCGAGGCAGAGATCTATTCTAAGCTTTGTAAAAAAAGAGCAAGGTGTTTACGTCAGATCCCCATTTTTGTTTAAATATAACGTGCATTCATCCCGTTTGATTTTTTTTTAATTAATAACTTTATTATTACTTTATACCAGTATTGGTTATTAATTAATTATTTTCAAATCAAAATATTCTGAAAACGGTACACAGTATGGAGTTTTACCATATCAAGTACCTTTTTGGTTTAAAATTTTATGGTGTTTAGAATTTTGATTATTAATTTTACCCTTAAAAAAATTATTTTAAATAAAACTTGGTACAAACCTTGTAACTAGTGCCCTCTATGAGAGTCAGACAGAAAAGTAAATTTATGGGATGTATCAGCAAAGTAGTTTCGGCAAAATCGTAAAAAATGTGTAATAACGCTCTTTATCTTGAAAACGGATGGCATTACAAAAAATGTTTACTAAGCAAACCCAAATTATTTTTCAGTGTTTTACCTATACTAGAGGCGGTGTTACCTTTTTTTGAAAAACCCTGTATATATGAAAAATCTATACAAAAGGAAATAAAAAAGATGTTTGCGGTACCGTGGAATTTCGTCCGAATTAAAACAGTGTTTAAAACAAAACAACATTCAACACACTTCTTTTTTATCAAGATCTAAAGAAGTAGTTAGTACAAAACTTTCCTTATTGTATATGTAAATTTTTATTTTCGCTAAACAATTGCCGTTATAAATATTTCAATTATCTTACCTGATCTTCTTTTTGTCGATCCTTGAAACAAAGTGTGAACAAGTTGACATGCGTTGACTTTTCCCTATCAACGCTTCTTGCTTCGATAGCTTGAGCCAAATATTTATTCACCCTATTCGACGGTTGGTGATAAACGCTGGAATGCCTTTTTTTAAACGGTCTTTTGAATTTTTCTGTTACTTTGTTCTAAAAATTAAAAGAGATTAAACTCCGCAATGAATACGGAAGGAGAAAGAATTAACCAACAAAAGGGTTGTTATCTGATCCAACTAACGAGTGTTTCTTTAATGTCTGTAAACTTGCCAAGGAAAAAGGTTTTCTAAAAAAGTGATATTTTACCGCTTTAAGAGTATAAAGAGAATTAAAAACAACAAAGCTATTGTAAAGTGTGTTGCCAATTATTTTTTTATTAGACTTTAAGTAAAATTACCTATATTATTGTTCTACATAATTGACAATGGCCAACAATAAACTACATCTAATTATAAAATTACAATAAATTGATTTTTGTTACAATTGATGCCGACATAAAATTCTGAAAATTTTCTGTCAAGATAAAATATAATGATATTTACTAGAAAATATAATTTACTCTTTGTTTTAAAGCGTTATATCTATGTATTATGTTTTCAAAAACATCCATGTTTTGCATGTCACCGTGACTGGCATATTCTTTTGTTTACTTTATTTACGGAAATACGTATTTGTAAACCGTATAATATATGTATTATCGACCTATATTTACTGTTGACATAGAAAAATTTAGAATATCTAAGATGACAGTCTATTTTTTGACCTAAATTTAAAACGCAAAAGAAATAAATTCTTTCTTTCTACAACTAAAACTCGTTACCGTAAAAATAATAACTTTAAGACTTATTTATAATGGAACATATATTACATTCAATCAAATATAAAAATCTTGTTATAAATGATTAAGAGTATGTCAATTTGGGGATCCTCAAAACGATGCAAAAAAATTTACCACTTTTTCCCACGGCGTCTCCCTAAAACGCCCCCTCGATTTATCAAAACTGTACGCTGCGCCATAGAAAAAAATGTATCAAATAAAAACGTTTATTAGCACTTTTTGTGTGGAATGAAGCGTTCTCTCAAAAACAACGTTTGAAGAGACAATTTGGAATGCCAGTTACGCGCGCGAAATAAATTTAAAATAAAATTTGTGATAACTCGACGGTAAAAATTCGATATCTTTTGATCGGACTGTCCTATCGACAAAAATAAAAATACGTTTTAAAAAGGAAGAGTGCAACTTTCGTACGCAATTTTGTATTTTGCAGCTAATGAAGTCAGTTTTTGTAAAGGTATTAAATAAATAAACGTTGCGCGATTTTCGCCATTTTTACAATTCTCATGAGATCAATAAAATAACTTTCATTGACCGGTTGTAATGCAATTTCCATTATTAGAGAATAAACTTCAAAGCTTATGATATAAAATTTCGATTTTAAGTTTTGGCAATAAATATGAGGCATTTGAAATATATCTAAAAACGCAGAATTTAAACTTTTAAAGTACAAATCATTACACGATATGGGAAAGGTCTCCACGAAGGTGGTATTGAGTGGAATGCATAGTTGAAGTTATTTAGTTTCGAAAAAAGTACTTGTGCAATCAAAAAGGAGCAGCTTTAAATCTTTTTAAAGCAGATCGTTTGAAAGGTAAAAGTTTAAATTCAGCTTTTTTAAGAAATATTTCAAATGCTTTGAATTTATTGCAAAAACTCAAAACCGAAATTTCATTATATAGGTGTTAAACATTAGGATCTAGTCTAAGATAAGATCAATAAAATGGAAATTTTATTGATCTCATAAGAATAACAAAAAATGGCAAAAATCGCGCAACGTTTATCTATTAATTTAACATTTTTATAAACACTGACTTTATTTGTGGAAAAATACAAAAATTGCATACGAAAGCTGGACTCTTCACCTTTAAAGTACACTTCGATTTTTGTCGATAGAACATTCTGATCTAAATATATCGAATTTTTATCATCGAGTTGATACAAATTATAATTAAAATTAATTTCGCGCGCAAAAATTACATTTAAAATCATCGGTCGCTTCAAGCGTTGTTTCTGAGAGAACGGTTCATTATACACAAAAAGTATTAACAAACATTTTCGGTCAAAATCATCTCAACAACAGTTTTTACTTGAAACCTTTTTTTACGGCGCCGGCATACTGATTTTTTAATATCGATTTTTTTCCGTTTTTCCCCCATACGAGGTGGTGTTTTAGGGAAAAGCCGGAGGATAAAAGTGGTAAACTTTTTGCATGGTTTTTTGGTTCCCAAATATAAGATCTTTAACAAAATTCAGCTTATTCGTATAATTTTTAGAGGTTCAGTGTTGACAATGATGGTTCTGTCTGAGGACTGGAGTATAAAGCAATAATTGAAACCTTTAATTCATTGATTCATTGAACTGTTGTAGTATGAACGAAATATTCTGTTTTTATTATCTAAAGAGGTAATAATATTTCTCCTGTATTTTTATATATCTAATTTTAGAGTAATAAACAGAAAATTTGATTACTTATGCCAGAGACCTCTAAACCGAAGAAAATGCTAAAACGTGCTAAAATGCGTAGAAGTGCGTGAAAATGCTAAAAAATTAAATAGTTTTCGCATCCATGTTTTCAATGTTTATTTTTATAAACATTAACTTAAGTGCTAAATTTGTAATACCAGCTATCAACTTTTTATAGGTTTTTTCGAAATATGTTCCTAAATTTATCTGTTTAACTACTTTTGTTTTAAAAAAGTTTATACCATTTAATCCCGTAAAAAATGTATGTATTTATAAACACTATAAGTAATTTTAATTGTTAGGAGTAAGCTTTAAAATTAAAAGTATTGATGCAAAGACCTGCGTTTTTGTAGTCTCTTATTACTTTGGAGATTTTCTGTAGTGTATTGTCTTGGGACGGGAGTACTTCTCGAAAGTATGCCCCTTTTTACCCTTTGTCTGCAGCCCGAGCTCTGTAGGTTAGTCCTTGTAGGCGTGTGAGAAGATATTTCATATGAATTTCGCAGATCCTCTTCTGAACGAATGAAAAATTATTCACAAACTTCGTACAACCGTAAAAAAAAGAATCTGAATCTTAACAAGACGTATATTTCAGCGCTAAAAATAGAACCCCTTAACAAGCGCATTCAAAATTTGACTCTAGACGAGAACCAATTAACAGAGGTCGAGTCGCAGATGAAGGGTGTGAATAACACATTTTCAAGATCGACAATGTTTGAAAGAACTATCGATACGACACAAGTTTTTATCGTAATCCTGATATGGATAACAACTTATAGCAGGATATAGTTATATATGTAGATGTGTATAACCCGACAAGCGAGAGCTGGCGGGTTGCGCGTAGAAGAAATTGAAAAGTGTTCACCGTTTAAGTCATGTACATCGTGTACATCGTGTATAACCGTTTAAGTACCTATATTATATACCTATAATCGCGATTAAGTACCTCTCCTATCTCTCTTAGAATAATTCCTTTTCTATTTACGAGCAGGTCACCCGCCAGCTCTCGCTTGTCGGATTATAGATAATCTCAAAGAAAGGGAAAAGTATATATACACAATTTAGCTCTCCAGGCCTATGGCTTGGTTTACTAATATTTTAAATTCTTTCCTATCTTCCGCTAGGGAAAATTATATCTTTGAATAAAATTTGTAAAAAGCTGCTACAATATTTCATTAATTTAACACGATATGAGATAAGAAAGTCTAAGTAATTTAAGAAAATAAGCAAACAGATATTAAGTTGGCCTCTACCTTTGATAGCATAATCTAGGATAAAAAGTTATCAACAATTAGAAATGTTAAACGATAGCTTAGCTTAATAACAAGATTACCAAGACAAACAAGTTCACTGTTTTAATATGATAAAAGTACAATAAAATGTATACAAGGTGTAAGTGGATACATTTGTAGAACATACTGTGGGGCGCAATAACTAAATGATGTATCATGTGCCACTGTCACTAAAAAAGGCAAGGAGGTCATATTTTGATGACAGCTGTCAATAGATAAACAAATTAAGTATCTAAGAATGTAGAAAAATACATTGTCCTGTTCGAGGGTTTTCATAAAAGCTGAAGACTACCAATTTATTACTCCATACTTTTTCTTTATACTGTTGTCATTTTTAATTAAACGGTCACTGTTTTGAAACTACACAACAGAATGGCATATAAATATAGCAACATGCTAAATGATATAAGAGCTTTCAAATCATGTATTAGTTGCATTAGATTTCATTTACAATTATCTTACAAAATGGCGCATGTCTACAAATTCTGAATTATGAACAGGTGCATTAGGTTAGTTTATTGTTCAGAAATTAGTTGGTGCAGAAAGTATAGATTTGTATAAAAAATGCCAAAAGCAATATATTGTTTACTATGACCCTTTTTTGGCCTTTTTTCATTTTAGTTAATGTGAATATCAATTACAACAACTTTATACTTTCACGATTTTTAAAAGTTACACGAACACGATGTACCTCCCTATGATGCCTTTCCAGAGATATTTTCCAAAAAAGTTTGTATTTAGAATAAACACAACAAGTTTCAAACAAAGTCATTGTTAATATTTAATTTTTTAAAGTAGTTTAAAAAGTAAATATGAAAAATTTAATATTTTTTAAAATGAGTCTAATAAGATCATCTTTTCAAATTTAGCATTTTCTTAAGTTTATAGATACCCATTTTAGTCAACAGCATTTATACTACAAATTACTTAATTTGTACGTATGATAAACGTTCTAAAATCACTATATCTACAATACATGAAGTGCAAGAATAGTCTTAGGTCAATAGTCAAGAGAAATTTATTTTTTGGTGGAAAAAATTGGACTCATTTTGATAGTGATCGATGCGTACAGACCCTTTTGTTGGTTAACTTTCGATTTTAATAAATCTAAGGAGGAAATGAAAGCAAAAAGCACATTTTCATGTCACGTGATACTTTTGTGTGTAAAGAGAAAGCTTTTTCGTGAAGGTCGTGAAGGAACGGGAAAGGAGAAAGGTATCAGCTAGCAACAAAAATCAAGCCTAGGTTACTATTAGCACCGTTCAGTAATCAGAAAAATATTTACAGGTTTGTAAAGGTGTTCTCCGATCAAGATTTTTTAATTGGAGTGGAGTGAGGAG